GATAGATAGATAGATAGATAGATAGATAGATAGATAGATAGATAGATTAGATAGATTAGATAGATAGATAGATAGATAGATAGATAGATAGATAGATAGATAGATAGATAGATAGGCAGGCAGGCAGGCAGGCAGGCAGGCAGGCAGGCAGGCAGGCAGGCAGGCAGGCAGGCAGATGATAGATAATCTTGACATGTAAGAATTATTTGTTCATATACTGTAGTCCAGTGGCCCCAAACCTTTTTTGAACCAGGGACCGGTTTCACGATTATTTATTCTTCCACGGACCGGTACCTGAGTAACGCGAGACTCCACCGCCATCGGGACGGCTCTTCATTCGAAGCCGCCCCCCCCCTTCGACGAAACTAAGGCGTGAGCACCCAAACGCCGCTTTCCAACCGAAAACCCGGAAGCAACCGAAAACCCGGAAGCGCCGTCAAAACAAGATGGTGGCGCCCAAGCTTTGCGGCCCAGTAAAAAATGATCCACGGACCGGTACCGATCCGGGGACTGGTGGTTGGGGACCCCTGCTGTAGTCCCATCAGTGTATATTGTAGCTTGATATATTATATTGCGCAGACAAGTCCCCACCTCAAGAAGGCAGCAATAAATACAGTCTCTCTCTGTTTTCCTGTTGATAGGTTTCTAAACAGTGCTATCTGGTCAATTTTGGTCAAAGCATTTTTTTGTGATCTGGGTGGAGTTCCAAATTCAGCCCTGTTCAATGCACGTGCTTTATTCAGTGTTCTTATATCCTACAGGGAACTCCAATACAAGGGAGTAAACTTAAACTTCCAGGATATCTTTCTGGGAAAGTTTTTCATTCTGGAGAAAATAATGGCCTAATTTCAACAGCAGCTACAAGAGCCAGAGCACATTTTGCAGGTAAGTGTTGGATTTGCCGGGATGGGGCACCTGCATCCTTGGGGACATCCCACTTGCAGAAGTTGAAAGTATCTGTCTCTCCTTAGCCTTCAGTCTGTAACTCAATCTCTTGTTTTTACTGCTATATAAATCTTATTATAATCAAGATGGGTCTTTTCAGCTTGGAATGCTCTGAAGCAGTAGAAGGTGCCAGTTGCATTTAACTTGAGTCAGAGTTCAAGTATGGGACAAGGCCCTCTTCAGAAGCAGCCTCATTTTGCTTTGTTCCACTAACCATGGATGTCTTTCATCTTGTCTTGCAGAACCTAGAAAAACATCAAGTAGGCCTGGCAGTCGTGCTGGAAGTAAAGCTGGGAGCAGAGCGAGCAGCCGCCGGGGCAGCGATGCCTCTGACTTTGACATTTCAGAAATCCAGTCAGTGTGCTCAGATATGTCAGAAACTGTTCATACCCCAATTAGACCAAGATCCCGACCGAATTCTCGGTCCGCCTCGGGAAAGCCTTCCAAAATTCCAACTCCACAAAAACGATTGCTAGTCAGAAAATTAGACAAGTCCTCCAAGAGATAATGCAGTTGGCTCCTCAAAGTATTTTCTTTTCTTCTGTGCATTAAATATTTAAGTTTCTAAGATGTAAATTATCCTGTAGAAATTATTGTGAAATATGGCAAGAGTTGGATTTTTAATTTTGCAAATGGCCTTATTTGTGTATCAGTCTTGATATTTTATGTGTATAGTTTTTGTTAACTTTTCTTTTGTTTATGCCATATTCTATGTGAATAGGAGAACATTTTTTAATGTAAACTAACAGTTGTTTGCAGTAACATATAGAGAAGTCACTAAAAGCTTTTATCGCTAACTCTTTGCATCATACATCCGCCTGGCCTGTTGCTTCATCATTTACAGTCAAGGATACCTCAGAACTTGATCTTCATACAGATGACAAAAACTTAAATAATACATTTTGAACTAACAACGTGGATGTTAATACCATGTGACCGAAACTTAAACAACAATGTGAAGAAGTTCTTTTTGCCATTATATTAATTAAACAATTTCTTCCAGTAAATTCATACATATTGCAATATATTCCCATGGTTTTCAGTGTGCTGTTGCTTTAAAAGACGGCAGAAACAATCTTGGTCCGGGGAAGGGGGGATGTTACACTAGCATTAGAATATCAGTATAACCTGCATTCATTGTAATGTGAGGTTTTCTTTTGCTTGAGTGGATGATAGCTTTGTATCATTGGACTCATTTTATATCAAAGCAGTTTTGCTTGCAGAAAAAAAATATATACAAAATAAATCTTGTCCACTTCTCTTTATTGCTGTGGTTTTCCTTTTATCCCAGGGAAAGAGATGTTCTTCATTATGCTTGCCTCGTATCTGCTTTGAAAAATGCAAACCCCATTTCTTCAAGACAAAAATTGCCTATTTATTGTATATTAAAGGGTATCACATACACACACAAATAACAAATATATCATCTATATTATTTGTTTCTCATCTGCAATCCTGGCCCTCCCCATTTCTTTCTGCATTTATTTGCAAAAAAAGTTTCTCCATTTCTTTTAAGTCCCTTATGTGATAGGTTTTTCACATACTGTTGTATCCATCTGTTCACATTGTGCTTTTACAATTATTATTTTCTATTTGTGGAAAGTCTCTTGATCAGGAGACACCTCTGCTAACAAAAAGATATTCTATATGCCTCAGATGTGTTTGTACCAGACTGCTGGAGGGCAGCCAATATAACACTGATTTTTAAAAGACTTTTGAGGATGGGAGGTGTAATCTTAAAAAGTGGCAGGCTGATTAACTTAAGGTCTATACCAAATAAACTGCAAAGCCATGCTTTAGTTGAAGCGCCAAGCATATAGCCAGATATAGCTTTAGCAAAGTTTTAAGTTTTCTCACTTTAAACCTACATTGGGTGTGCCCGGGGATAATAAGTGAAGTTTATTTTTACTGTGTGGTGCCTTTTGATGAAATTCCTTATTGGAGTCAGTGAATAAACAGGCTTGTCTCATGGATTGATTTTAAAAAAAACAAAGTAGAAAATATACACTGCTCAAAAAAATAAAGGGAACAGAAAAATAAGACATCCTAGATCTGAATGAATGAAATATTCTTATTAAATACTTTGTTCATTACATAGTTGAATGTGCTGACAACAAAATCACACAAAAATTATCAGTGGAAATCAAATTTAGCAACCCATGGAGGTCTGGATTTGGAGTTACACTCAAAATTAAAGTGGAAAAAAACACTACAGGCTGATCCAACTTTGATGTAAAGTCCTTAAAACAAGTCAAAATGAGGCTCAGTAGTGTGTGTGGCCTCCACATGCCTGTATGACCTCCCTACAACGCCTGGGCATGCTCCTGATGAGGTGGCGGATGGTTTCCTGAGGGATCTCCTCTCACACCTGGACTAAAGCATCCCCCAACTCCTGGACAGTCTGTGGTGCAACGTGGCATTGGTGGATGGAGCGAGACATGATGTCCCAGATATGCTCAATTGGATTCAGGTCTGGGGAACAGGCAGGCCAGTCCATAGCATCAATGCCTTCGTGTTGCAGGAACTGCTGACACACTCCAGCCACATGAGGTCTGGCATTGTCTTGCATTAGGAGGAACCCAGGGCCAACCGCACCAGCATATGGTCTCATAAGGGGTCTGAGGATCTCATCTCGGTAGCTAATGGCAGTCACCCTACCTCTGGCGAGCACATGGAAGGGTGTGTGGCCCCCTAAAGAAATGCCACCCCACACCATTACTGACCCACTGCCAAACCGGTCATGCTGGAGGATGTTGCAGGCAGCAGAACGTTCTCCATGGTGTCTCCAGACCCTGTCACATCTGCCACATGCTCAGTGTGAACCAGCTTTCATCTGTGAAGAGCACAGGGTGTCAGCGAATTTGCCAATCTTGGTGTTCTCTGGCAAATGCCAAATGTCCTGCACGGTGTTGGGCTGTAAGCACAATCCCCACCTGTGGGTGTTGGGCCTTCATACCACCCTCATGGAGTCTGTTTCTGACTGTTTGAGCAGCCACATGCACATTTGTGGCCCGCTGGAGGTCATTTTGCAGGGCTCTTGCAGTCCTCCTCCTGTCCCTCCTTGCACAAAGGCGGAGGTAGCGGTCCTGATGCTGGGTTGTTGCCCTCCTACGGCCTCCTCCACGTCTCCCGATGTACTGGCCTGTCTCCTGGTAGCACCTCCATGCTCTGGACACTACACTGACAGACACAGCAAACCTTGCCACATCTCGCATTGATGTGCCATCCTAGATGAGCTGCACTACCTGAGCCACTTGTGTGGGTTGTAGACTCCATCTCATGCTACCACTAGAGTGAAAGCACTGCCAGCATTCAAAAGTGACCAAACCATCAGCCAGAAAGCATAGGAACTGAGAAGTGGTCTGTGGTCACCACCTGCAGAACCACTCCTTTATTGGGGATGTCTTGCTAACTGCCTATGCTTTCCACCTGTTGTCTATTCCATTTGCACAACAGCATGTGAAATTGATTGTCAGTCAGTGTTGCTACCTAGGTGGACAGTTTGATTTCACAGAAGTATGATTGATTTGGAGTTACATTGTGTTGTTTAAGTGTTCCCTTTATTTTTTTGAGCAGTGTAGACAAATGGTTGGTGTATATTATGAAACAATGAAAGCCATTGTTCTACAATGGGACCATATAGTTCCAACTGCCTGGAAAATGAGAGATGACTAGGTTTGCAGCTGACTCCAAATTATCAACAGGTTTACAATGCGAAAAAGGTTCAAAATGTAACTAAGCATCCTGCAGAAAGTAGTATTAAGGTAATGAATGTAATTTATCATAAACAGGAGTGAAGTGATGTACATTGGTCCAAAAATTGCTACCTTATTAACAGAGAACTTCTAGGATTTAGGCTGGAAGTTGACCAATGTTCAGAAATAGCCCAGCTTAAAGATTGGCGATGTGAGGCAGGAAAATTTTGTCCCGATACAAGTTGTTTTTTTTGGTACTCAATGCACAAGCTAGAAACTGGTGTTGGTTGCCTTGTGCTATTCCTTATGGGAAAAATTTGTTTGATACTTGTCATTTTTGGTATTCATCGCACCTCCCAGAACCAATGAACAAGGACTGAGATACCACTGTATTTAATAATAGGTGTGTTTTTCCAGAAGATCAGTGTATACAGGCGCTGTACTGCAAATAGGTCCAGGGATTCCTATTGTGCTCAGGCCCAACTTCTTTTGTCTGATTCGGGTGACATTTTTTTCCCTGTTTCCTTAAAGACTTGGTTCCTTCTTATCTACTTTCCTTGAGGGAGCTTTTCCTGGTTTTTGTCCACCCTGCTTTACATGCTTACTTCTATCTTTAGGTACAGTGGCTTAGGCCTAGTCTCACACTGCCCACCTTTGGCTTGCCTTGGGTGGCTGAATGGCCAGGTTGGGAGCAGCTCAAGGCCTGCAGTGAACTCAGGGGGCAGGGAGTGGAGCACAAAATGCTGCAGGGTGGGGGAGGCCTAGGGCAAACAGGCCTGGGCCTGTGCTAGGCCCCTATCCCTGAGGCTTCCCATGCTCTGCTTAACCAACACACACATTCATTTAATGGCCTCCTCAGGGAAAGCAACCCTTAGCCACATCCTCACCAAAAATTCACGGATGAACGGTAAATTATCCATACACTTGTCTAGCGAAAGACAGAAAACTCTCTTCAGCTAGAACAGACTAAGGGTAAAGGTAAATTGCCTCGACTGTGGGCACTGCAGGCATGAATCGAGACAATATGAACATGTGGCCTCAAAAATGGTTGAGTTGTGATTAGAAAATCATGCAGAAGGCCTGTCTTTTTATACGTGAAAAAAAACAACAGAAAGGGAGTTCAAGTTAGGCACCAGGCCCAATTATTGTAGACCAGAAGCATTCATAGGAGGCGCCAAAATGTGAAAGATGGCAGATGTGACATCACAATAGAATGCCTGTCCCTTTTGTAAGCGCAGTGATGTCACACATGAAAGGCACACAACTTCAACCACAAATGTTGCACTTACCCTATTGCAGATTTTTAATCTTCGGCAGATGCTCATGTGACTCCCAGTGACAATTTAAGGGGCAAAAAAGTTGGTATGTTTCTGTTGAATTTAAGGTTAATATCAGGACTGTCTACTTTTCTGCAGAAATATATAATTCTGCTGTTTGTTATATTGTTGGGTTTATTACTTGGTGGGTTTGTTTTCAAAATTTCTTGTAGCGTTTGTGTTTAATTAGATCTAATTTTCTGTTCGCATTTTGCCTAGCAGCAAAATGGCAGGCAAAGTTGTCCATGAAGCAAATGGTTATTCATAATTTACTGTGCTATGGATCAACTGAGGATGCTCTGCTGTCTTTGTCAAGTTAGTTTGTGCAGCTGCCTACAGTTTTTAAATCCCTGACAAAATATAAGACAAAAAATATTCATGAAATACTGATGATTACTTCTTAGCAGTATTTCCTATGATGGACTGCAGACAAAAATAATAAAGAGAAAAAAGCCTGAGGTTGCTTGTACTGTATGGTGTGAAAGCTGGATTACTGCATACTGAGGTTTTTTTGGCCACAGGGATACTTTCTCACACACATAATTCAACTAAGTAGTCCTGAGTAGGTTAACCTGTGGAATG